ACTGAAGTACTGCTTGAAACAAGTGAGGGCAAATGATGCCCACAGTTCTGTCTCTACTGAGGAGAAAAGAAACCCTTCTGCACAGATCCCACCCAACATTTGCACAACATAAAACGTTTGAAGAAATTATTCTGCAGAGCAAAACACAGAAGAGGGTTTTGCATGAAAATAGCAGGGCTTTATACAAAAGAGAGAAAGAGAGACTTTCCAAGCAGCCATGTATGCTTTCGTGTGTAAGACTGATGTTTTCTATGTAAAACTCAGCAATCAGAAAGGGCATTCTTGCACAACACAATCCTTATATTATGTTTTTTTTTCTGTGCTAGATTTCTTTACAAATTGCAGAATTTACCCTACAAGGCGAAAAGCTTTCTCCAATATGCAATGGTACGCACCAATCTCCCAACAAGCTTTTGTGAGCCAATTGAACTCCCAATGTCCTTCATATTGACGGTGATGTGATAGATCAGGTGCCGCAGACCTTCTAGGCCTTCGAGCGTCTTACATGAGATTTCGCTGCAATGGAAAACAGCAAAGAGATTTTAAGATCCCATAGTGTGGAAACAGCTTCTTCGGGTCACTACTATCTAGAGGAGGTTAAGAGGTCTGCAATGGCTTCACACCTAGAATCCTACCACCATCTTTTCCTACTACCTTCAATTTTATGACCTTATCCTCCTGCAAAACCAAAGTTTTTGCAGTGTAATCAATTTTCCCCATGTTTTAAGGACAGAATCAATTAAAACAAATATGATAGTGTTACAGAGTGTAATTACTACAGAAGAACACATGTACGATGGGAGGAAGTGGCACACAGTTGGTGGAAAATTACTGGGTTGTTGTAGGTTTTTTGGGCTGTATGGCCATGTTCTAGAGGCATTCTCTCCTGACGTTTCGCTGCATCTATGGCAAGCATCCTCAGAGGTAGTGAGGTCTGTTGGAACTAGGGAAAAGGTTTATATATCTGTGGAAAGACCAGGGTGGGACAAAGGACTCTTGTCTGCTGGAGCTAGGTGTGAATGTTTCAACTGACCACCTTGATTAGCATTTGATAGCCTGGAAGTGCCTGGAGCAATCTTTTGTTGAGAGGTGATTAGATGTCCCTGATTGTTTTCCCTCTGCTGTTTTGCTGTTTTAATTTTAGAGTTTTTAATACTGGTAGCCAGATTTTGTTCATTTTCATGGAAGCTGATGAGGAAACACAACATACAAACATCTACAGACCCACCAAGAAAATCCAACAACTGCTACGTTCAGCAAAGGACAAGAGGGATCCTCTCACTTCTGCAGGAGTCTACCGCAGTGGTTCTCAACCTTGCTAATGCCGTGACCCCTTAATGCAGTTCCATATGTTGTGGTGACCCCCAACCATAATATTGTTTTTGTTGCTACTTGATACCTGTCATTTTAATGTAAATATCCAATATGCAGGATGTATTTTCATTCATTGGACTAAATTGAGCACCAATACCCAATATGCCCAAATGTGAATGCTAGTAGGGTTGGGTGGGAGGATTGATTTTGTCATTTGGGAGTTGTAGGTGCTGGGATTTATAGTTCACCTACAATCAAAGAGTATTCTGAACTCCACCAATGATGGGAACCAAACTAGGCACACAGAACTCCCATGACCAACAAATATAGAAATGCTGGACCACTCTGACAACCACCATGTCAGACTACACAGAGAAGCCATTGAAATCCACAAGCATGTGGACAATTTCAACAGAAAGGAGGAAACCATGAAAATGAACAAAATCTGGCTACCAGTATTTAAAAAACCTCTACAATTACAACAGCAAAACAACAGAGAGGAAACAATCAGGGACAGCTAATCACCTCTCAACAAAAGATTCCCTCAGGCATTAACAAGCCACACCAAAAAACTGCCAGGCCATCAAATGCTAATCAAGGTGGTCAGTTGAAACATTCACACCTAGCTCCAGCAGACAAGAGTCCTTTGTCCCACCCTGGTCATTCCACAGATATACAAACCCTTTTTCCTAGTTCCAACAGACCTCACTACCTCTGAGGATGCTTGCCATAGATGCAGGCGAAATGTCAGGAGAGAATGCCTCTAGAACATGGCCATATAGCCCGAAAAAACCTACAACAACCCAGTGATTCCGGCCATGAAAGCCTTCGACAATACATGCACTTACTGTAAGTGTTTCATGGTGATATCTGGGAAGCCGGTTGCTCTCGAACCAGAAGGGGATCGACACACAGCCAGGACATAGGCTCTCAAGGTGGCAATCCTTTCCACACGGAATTTGGTTTCAATCAAGTCAAGGTGAGTTCCCACCACCAACACAACTGAATTTGGTGCTTTGGCCTGGAAAGGGGAAAAAACAGCGTCAAAGCATCCAAGTATTTCTCTCCATGTTCTCTCTGAACAAACCTTTGGAAAATGCCGAACTGCAAAAACAGGGCACAGGTCGAACATCCCTTTCCTTCAAACCCAAAACTCAAAATATTCCAAAACCCAAAGCTTTCCTCATGGAAGCTGCGACAGTGAGACCTTTGCTCTCTGACAGTTCAAGGTGGATGACCTTTCATGCACATCACTATTTTTAAGTATTGTATACAATTCCATTCAGGCTACGTGTATAGTGTGCATTTGAAACATTCATGAATTTCATGGTGAGACTTGGAACCCGTCCCCAACGTATCTTATTATGTACATGTAT